GGCTTGGAAGTTAATATAAAATTACCATATATAACATATTTTATGTTTGACAGCCTATTTATGTTTTTTCTTTATGTTTCAGACTCTACAGAGTCTTATATATGGTAATTTTAACTTAATTTCCAAACCGGTCTATGTTTCCCCATCACGGCTGCCATTAGATGGTCACATTTCGCCCATTTGGAGGCGGTGCCCCCCATTTGCAAACTATGACACTTTCCTCAAGTTTGTCATTTGCATATGTAACTAGAAGAGTTCTACTACAGTGCACCAAAACCTGGAGTTATTTGGAGTTATTTACCAAAAAATATAACTGATTTTACCACCCGGTCTAAGTTACCCCAAGAGCTGGGGTAACAAAGACCACCACTTTTTTTGAAATTACATAAAGACTAAGAGAGGCAGGAGCCAGCAATTTATGGTGAGTGAAGCTAGAGTATAGACCTGTATTTTGCATGTTTCAATTCAAGTTTAATTTAGCTAGTGAAAATATGGCATCATTTATAAAAATAAAAGTGGTCTAAGTTACCCCATTTTACGGTAGACTTAATTAAAATTGTGCGAAATTACAAACCATCCTGTAAGCTTACAGATACAAAAGAAATGCTACATGGCTGCTGATATGAAGCTTGCAGGGGACAAGGTTCTTGTTAATGCTCAATGGCATGTCCATGGATACAGTAGTACGGTATCACATTAATAATACGGTTATTAATGAATATGGTAATATCATATCAATAAAGGAAAAACAAGTAAAATTCAAAGAAAATGTCATTTATTTTACATCTACATCATCTACCATGAAAGAGGAGGACTTCAGAGTACTGTTAGTAATAGTTAAGTACACTCTGCATGCTTCAAATTTTTTAAATTGAGTTTTATTTCAAGTGTCCCTTTTTACCCCATTTCAAGATTAATTCAGGAGCCTTTTATATTGCATTTAGTGCCTTACAAATAGCATATGGAATTTTTTTGAAGATGCCATTCGATGGCCCTCGCAAAGAGCTATAAAATGAGCCTAAACTTGTTTCTGAAATGTTTCTTGGTAAGACGTTATTAACAAAAAACGCTCAAAACCGTCCCTTTTTACCTTGTTTGACGGTACTCACATTTCACAGCTCATTGTGCTGGTGCAAAAATTTTTTTGCACTCTTGCCTTCTCAGGTTTTTAATTATTAATAAAACGGGTTAATTCAACCATTTAGGTGCACCAAATTCCCTCAATTCTTGACCAATAATTATGAAATTAAATGAACAATTAAGACATTTTTAACACATTACTTCAGGTTTAGGTTTGCATTCAGGTAAGGTTAGGATTGGTTCCACCTGTTTTACCATTTTAGTTGAAAACGGGAGGTTGTGAAAATGTAAAAAAAATCCTTGTCACAGCGCAATGTTTATTAGAATTTGCTTATTTAATTGCAAAATTATTTGTCACGAATTGAGGAAATGGCGTTTAATGAAGTGGTTGAAATATCCCATGTTACCGTTTTAATTGAAAACAAGCGGTGGTAAAAATGAAAAAATCGTTGCCACGGCGCTCCGGGCATTAGCGCTATAGGCTTATTTACCTTTATCAATATAGGTCACAAACTGAATGAATAGAGAGTGCCAAACTAGATGAATTCACCGCACCGGGATTACACCTGTAGCCCACTTTACGATCACTGACTTGCATGGGACAAGTAAAATTTACTTTGTCAAATGTTGTCAGTTGTGTCATTTTCATTAAGGAAAAGATGATATTTTATGTAAGTACGGTACCTAGTAAAATTTATATAAAAAACCCTGGATTGTCCGATGTATTTAATCCAGGTTCAAATGATTGAATATACTTTGATGAAATTTAATTCTAAAACTACAATGTAAAGGGTCGTCTTTATTAGTTAAGCGAGGGAAGGTATTCAAGGTTCTTACACCCTGGCTACGTCGCCTTCCTCACCTACGATGAAGTCAAAGCAAGACTACAGAAATACATCTCCAAGCCCGGCAGGTTAGAATGGCTTGCTTCCATTATTAATCTTTCTTTGCGATAGTTACCATTAATTTATCTAATAACAATTAATATCTCTGCATATATTGAGGATATAAATGAATAATTGTATGAGTGGTCTTCATATTTGCCTGATTTTTTTTTTTACTTTCAGTTTGAATTGATGAGCGATCTAAAAACATTAGTGTTACTTTCATAAACATCCTTTCTGAATAAATTTAATGCTGTATGCGTCCTTACTGTCTTTGTTGAATTTATTTGGTCAATTAGTAAGATTTTATAATTTTTATTAACTTTTTATTTGTTTTTTAAGTTGTCAAGGATTATCTGGTATTTTGAAAATATTAAAGATTTTCCTCGTTTTTCAGCTCTCTAATATGTGCATATATGAAATTTATTTGGTTTTCAAGCATTAAATTACTAATTCATTGTTTAATGTGTACTGAATAGCTCATATGTCTGAGTTAACCTGTAAATGTTATCCTGATTTCTCTTCAAGTTTCAAATTGAGTTTTTTTGTTGTTTCAGTTACGTGTTCAGGCTGTCGTGTACGCGACTCGGTCAGTGGGCCATAGGATACGTGACCAACGACGGCTCCATCCTGCAGACCATCCCTCAGAACAAGTCCTTGTGTCAGGCCCTCCTGGACGGAAACAGAGAAGGATTGTTAGTGATCAACTAGAATTTCTCTAGGAATTTAAAAGCAAAGAAAACGCCAAGCAAATACACCATACTATCGATATTGAAAACGTTTTTGAGTCCAGCTCCATCATCAGTTGGACAATCTAAAAATGAATAAAATCATTTTATGATTTTTGCTTGGCGTTTTCTTTGCTTTTAAATTCTTTGTGAACTTGCGATATAAGCAGACTAATGATATAAGAAGTTCTCTATTGTTAGTGATCAAATATCCTGCCGCTGACACCAGGATCTGCAGCACGAAGATGTAGACCGAGATTTTTTGTAAGAAAATATGTAGTCTAGTTTGAGTTCGTGTGTGTCAAGTTGAAATCTGAATAAATTTCAACTTTCAAGCCGTGGCCTACCTAACTAACTGGGCTACTAAGATTTATAGGATAGATTTAAATTTCGAGAAAATGAATTTTAAGTGAAGGTTCGGAAAATATAAAAAATTTAGTTGCTAACAAAGTTGTGCAACTTCTAAAATAAGTATATTTATAAAGTAGTATAGTATTGTTAATTTTTTTTATTTTTGCTATAAATGTCTATTAATTTGTTTAATAATATAGTTATAATGGATGGACATCTCTGATAACGATGTAGTAGGTGAGAAAACACTCAGTTAATTAATAATTATGATTCTCTCTATTTACGCAATATGTGAACAATCACCCAGTTTATTTCTAATTAATTAATTTAGAATCTCTGTCTTCATGCTAGACGTAAAAAAAGACTCATTTTATTCCTAATTAATTAAGATTCTCCGTCTTCATGCAGGAGGTGAAAAAGGACGCAGTTTATTTATAATCAATGAATTTTTTATTACCAGAGAACTCCATGTCTTGATGCAATACATAAGGAAGCAGTCACGCATATTGTTATAATGCATAGTATTATTGGCGTGCAGTTACCTCTACCCTGACGGCCGCAACCTCAACCCTGACCTCTCCTGGGTGGTGCAGGCCACTCCAGAGGACCACGTCAAGGTCTGTGCCCGCCCCAATTATTGATGTCTTGCACGATTTTGTTGATTTGTTATTCTGGTGTAATTCAGCCACGAAGAGACTGGGTTGACGAAAATCTTCTTGGATCAAAACATTCTGTTATCAAGTTTATAGAGAGGCTTCTTTAATACTAGAAATAGAATTTAATCTTTAATCCTTCAAATAGAATTTAGGGTTAATGAAATCTATTATTGTGCGTAGTATTTGTGTATATAGTTTTTCCCATTTCCTAACAGGTGACGCAGGAGCAGTACGAGCTTTACTGCGAAATGGGCTCCACTTTCCAGCTGTGCAAAATCTGCGCCGAGAACGACAAAGACATCAGAATAGAGCCTTGTGGCCATCTCCTTTGCACCCCATGTCTCACATTGTGGCAGGTTGGCATCGCTTATTTTCTCTATTGAACTAGAGTCCTGGCTGCACAAGGCACGCGAACGTCCCCCAGTATCTGAATCATATTATAATATTATGCAGGCTCTCCGGCATAGTTTGCTAGGCTCCTGCGATGTCTCAGCTTCATGTGTGAAATGACCCAAAATTAATAGATAAAAGAAGTTGTAATGCGTTTATTTCACTAAAGATTTCAGCGTTGTTCTCAAATGACACAGGCTAATGTTAGTTTATCGTTCATAAATCTAAATCAAATTTTTGGTAACTTAATTTACCACATCTCAGACATAGGTAGTTTCTTCAATCTCTCCATTTTTGAATACGCTTCGGAAAAAAATCTCAACATGGTGATTCATTTATTCGGTAGCATTTTTTTCAGCAAAGCCCCGCCATGGCGAGAAGCATAACCCAGTTAACAATTCCATGATCTGTCTGCAGGACTCGGACGGTCAGGGATGCCCGTTCTGCCGAGCGGAAATCAAAGGCACTGAGCAAATCATCGTCGACCCTTTCGATCCGCACAAGCAACCGCGAGCACGGACAATGGCGACGGCTGTTGCCGCCAACAGCATCAACAGCGATCTGTTGAACATCAACGGTACTGCAGCCCAACAACAACAACAACAACAGCAACAACAACACTTCCTGTTAGACACGGAGGAGGAGGAAGAGGAGGTACTCATGGACTAGCCATCTTGCTTCTCTAGAGGCTCGTCCACACTCTGATACTTTAGCTGGACCTCTCATGACTGGAGGACGTTGCTCAGTTATGACTTAAAAACGCGGACCTAATTAATTCAGCATTAAATACTTGTATGAGATCAGAACATGTCTGTGTAGTTGTTCTCGGGTGTGGACGTGGCTCGGATATGGCGATGTCTGCCTCGCTGTTAGCTGCTTGTGTTAGCGACCTCAACTTGCATGCAATTCGCTGCTAAGCTTCATACGTTCAGCTTTATTTTATGTCTCAGCTATGCAAGTCCACAAACTTTCATTTGTGGTTCTTCAAACTGCAAGATTTTATTCAAATAGAAACGAAATAATATTTGCCAAATTTATTCAGCTCATGCCATTTCATGTGTTTGAATTACACATTAAACTTGAATGAACTCAATTTTCAAGACTATGAGTCCTTTTGTCGATTCAAAAATAGTAATTGATTTTTTTATGATTCACCAACAGAACATAATCAGAATACATTCGCTCATTAAAGAGTGTACGAATTAAAAGCTTGTATTCTTTGCCATTTGATTTGACAATTTTAGTTAAAGACGTCGATTTTACCTTTAAGTCTAGCTGGTTATCTATTTATTTTGCTGTTGTTTTACTCCCAAGATATCTTTGTTGTTGCAAATCTAATGCATTTTACTTATATTATCCATCATGCTTGCTGTTTGCTGACTATGCATGTTTGTTGAACTGTCGTCCAGAAGCGATACCTTCATTCGTGTTCGTGCAAGACCACGCCCAGGGTAATTTGATGCCTGCATAGCACCTCGGCGTCCAAGACTAAATGAGCAGCTAATGGCAGTTCTTCAGCTGCGGACCAACATTTACTCCGTTATTTTTCCCGGTGTTGGTCATGCGCGAGAATTCTGACCACTTAATGGGTGGAGTAAATTGTGATAGTTCATCTTCCACTCCATCTTCCATATTTTGTCTCTCTGAGAACCTTACGCTTATTCTTAACTCTATGGCATTTAGAGACCTTCACCACATAATTTATTTTAATTATCTATGGAATGATGCAGGTTTTTTAGCCCGTTGATTGTTTACTCTTGTCACGATGATTTGCCGAGTTGGCTCAACGTATTAACCGTAAACGTGACTATTGTATTTAGTTGCAATTTCTGTTAAAGAACAGTCATAGGAGTGGGAAATGTCTTGTCATTGCGGGACTTTCTACGAGTTAAATTCCAAGCTCGTACCTCTGTTGGTTACGCAGGTCGCGTTGAGTACGTACTGTACTAAGATTATTGCCTTTAGTCAATGATCAAGTCAATGCCTTGACTATTGACTCATTGCTTGTGTCACAAATTTACAAGTAATTTAAAACAAAGAAGATCTACAGAAATTCAGCGTATCTTTATAACGGTAAACGTTTCAGAGTTAAACTCCATGGAACATCGTTTACGTGAGCTCTGCCTTTGTTGTGTTGCCTCTAAATGTTGTCGACTAGATAGCCTCCTCGATTCGTCTGATTGCCGTAGCTTTAGTTTATTATAGATAAGTATAGTAAATTTCATGACAGTGTTTCTATATTTACTTGATTTGTTCCTACAACTGTAAAATTTCTAGGTTAGTCAGATTTACGATTTATCAAGGTATTTATCTAGGTATTCAAGTATTTTCTGTCACGAGTCTTTGTCTCGCATGAAGTAACGTATTTCTATAGTATTGCATGCGAAACTAGGTGTAAAAGTCCTATAAATTTCATTGATGAATGTTCATAAAAGCGCCACCTTCTTGATTAGAACGATGCTCATGGATTATGTTCATCGTGTGATATGTGTGATTTTCCACACTTGCAATTTATTTCACGTGTAAATCTCTACAAGTTAGGTCATCGTACCGGTTGTCTTTCCATCGCATTATTCTCTGTGCACTGGTTATTCTTGTTGGCACGCACGGTTCTTAGGAACGAGTCATTCATAATATTTGTTGAGTGGTGCATTGATTAATATTTTCCCATTTTATTTATTCGCCACTAGAACCTTCAGAAACATCAACAGGCACAGTTTTCATTACATCCGCGGGTCCATGCGTGCGCCATAAAATCGTGCTATTTTTATGCAAATGAGACGTAATGCACTTATGTGCTTTGAAAGTTCGGAGTTTGTGCATTTACTCTATGCATAATTGGCAGCTAGAACGTATACGTCAGAAGCTGTTTCTCACTTGGTCGGTCAGCGTGTGGTGCTTGGTCAGCGGCCCGACTCCAGCCCTGCACTCTTCAGCTCTAACCATGCACTCTATATCACTTTTTGTTTTCAGATTACTTCCTCTCATGATTGCATTCTATCATTCATTCATGAATCATCATTCTCCTTCACTGTAATCATTTATACTTGTAGGATTCACTCCTTGGTTACGCTCAACCATTACTTGGTAGTTTTTATTTTAACTCTAGCATTAACGAATTTTTTTTTCAAATGATTTACCATGTTACTAACTTGAGTTTGTTCAACTTTGATTTATACTTTTCTGTTGTTCCCTCTAATGAACATCCACATTGTGGTGTGCTTCCTAAGAATTGTTTTCCTGGTCCTAATTGTATTAACTCTGCGTGTCGCTCATGTCTCGAGTTGTCGCCGCAGGGACGTTTGGCCGCGGCTGTTTTGTCGTCGAGTCAGAGTCGTCGAGGGCAGCCAAGAACCGACGTTTCGTTGCCGGCTGCTGTTGAGGTTGTGTCGGGGAAATTCATCAGAGATTCCGCCAGAGCTTCGTGTAGATTGCCGTTCCGTTTGCCGTCTTTTCGGTCGAGCACAGATCAGTATGCCTTTCGATCTGCGAGTTGCGGACCGAACAAAAGCGAGCTTACTTGCCTCAAAAATCGTACGAGACGAATTCAGTGAACTAGAGTGGTGTTATGTTGGTAAAGAGAAGAAATAAAATTAGTACTTGCTACCTGCACGAGGGGAAATATTGTAAAGGGTGTAATTGGCTGCAGATTGCGACAGATTAAGTTTTATAAATAACAGGTAGAAATCTTTACTTTCGTTAGTGCCAGAAATGTGAAACGAACATGTCGACACTGAAAGTTATTACGTTTCAAGGATTTCATACTGAAACTCTGAAAAAAAAGTGGTTACGTTTTCGCAAACTGGACATCATTTCTTGAACATCAAATCTCATAAAAAGGGAATGTAGTTTTGGCTCCGGTGATTGTTTCTATTCGAAAGAATGATAAACTTTGAGTAATAACCTCATTCATAATCGGTATGAAAGAATTGATAAGATGGCAGTACTCCGAAGCTGAACTCCCTTTATTGGAACCGTCCTGTTAACAGTATTAATCTAGGTATACCGTAGAATTGTTGCCACATCTGGCGCCAAAAATCTAGTATTGCATTTTCGTCCTGTGTGCCGTTTAGTTTTGTTATTTTTGGCTGTGCGTTAGTTTTGCGGACTATCGATTTGCAGTTCAAGTCACTCCCAATGCAGTATTTGTCACTTCTTGTTGCCAACATAACTTCGTATCGATATAGAGACTTTAGGCTCAATATTCATAGTTTTATCGATGCAAATGCGTTCACATTTTTCTGCGGTCTTATGGCCTCTACCCTCCCTCACTTCTAGACGTTTGTTCGTTCTCTTTTCAATCTACATACGTCCTTGTCCATCTTTCTTTCGTATACTGTTACATCTAATCTTAGTACTAACCAATACCGTCATTTAATTTAAATCTTATAATCTCTGCGTCATTATCAATCCTTCCATTCACGTCATCTTCTATTGAAATTGAAACAAAATCTTCCAACACCGTCATTTAATTTCAATCTAATAATCTCCGTGTCATTATCAATCCTTCCATTCACATCATCTTCTATTGAAATTGAAACAAAATTTTTATGCCCGAAATATTGTGCATTAACAAGTGGTAGTCTAGGTAACATTTGTATCTCAATATTCGAGTGGTTAAATTTGCAAAATTCATCTCTTCTATGTTAGTACTTTGGACTCGAGTCCTTGAAATGAAAGACGGTAATTTGCACCAATTCTGCACTATTTGTCAGTTCAGGGCTCAAAGCTGTTGAATCATTTTTCCAGCTTTTTACAACCCGTTTTGTGTTTTATTGCCGTTCTTTGACCATGCGGTAATTGTAGAGCTTTCTTTCGCTTTAATTAAACATCAAGATAATGGGGAAAAGAGCTCAAGCTTCAAATAAGAATTTTTTTGTGATGTAACAACTACGTCGTACTTAATGTCGGCGCTGGCGTTCATTCAGTTTACGCAGTTTGCAGTTGCGTGCTTCTGCCGACCGCATTGTTTTGTTTTTTTACGTGTTGCACAACTTACTTGTGATGCATAAATTATGTGTTCCGCAGTCAGTGCAACACGAGTTCTCGTATGTTGCCGTTGATGCAATTAACGGCGTTGTTTCGCATGACTATATACAATTTCTATTGCACGCTGCCTCAACCTGTGTTTTCTCACCGATGCAATACAATGTGTAGCAGAAGTGATGCCTTTGACAGCTTTCTATAAAAAATATTCACGAAAGTAATGCGGCGGGCAACGTACTTCTTTCATCTTTTTCCATTTCTTTTGCTTCCATTGAATTTCTTTCACTTGATTTTTGTTTCTGTGTATGTGTTGTCTCCATCATAACAAAGACGCTCGAGTGTTTTAAGGAATTAGCGTTGGAATTGAATCGCACAAAATTAGAAGACATCGTTTCACGAACATAGGATATTTATTTCATGCCAAATTTAAAATAGCTAATACGCACCATTGCACTTTAGGGCTTGGCTCTTATGACTTATTTTTTCATCGCTTCTAACTGCTTAGTTACGTCGTACGTTATACAATAGTTTTTAGGCAAATTCTAACTAATTTGTGGGCCGTTATGTTTGAATTAGCAATTTTTGCGATGCTGCGTCGAGTTCTGCACGAGATCTTTCACAAACAATTTTCTGCATGACGGTTCTTGGAATTCTTTATAGTTACCCCCGCTGTATCAGAACATTGTGCGTATTCGTTGCTGCGAAGGCGATACTTTTCACCCTTTATAACTCAAAATTAGGATTTAAACTCAAATAGCCTTAGGTGATCTAATGTATACATTACTCATTATCTATGTTTAAACTATTCCAGAACAAATTATGGCTAAAGGAAATGAGAAGTTAAAGTTTGCTTTTACGTACGGTACCTGAAGCCCTTTACACACATTTCATTTTATGATGGAACAATATTCGAACTGTTCTCTCATTTTGCAGGAGTCGTTCTCTTGTACGACCACCGAATGCCTGCTGTCGAGCCATGACTTTACTGTCGCACTTAGTCACAAAGTTATCTGTGTAAATATTTACGTCGCCTTCCTGTTAATATCTGTTGCATTTGTATGTATTGATACGCGACGTCATTGCGATGAGTGAAGTCGTGTTCAGGGTTCGACGAGTCGGTCTTGTTATTTATTACGGCCATGTTAATGGCGGATATTTTAATATCCCCATGAATGTTTATTGTGCATTTGTGCTGTACTGAGACCGGCAAGTTGCGATTGTTTTAATAAGCGAAAGGTTTTGTTTTATGTGTTCAAGCTGCAGTACGAACTCCTCACTACCGCATTTAGTCTTGATTTTGGCGGTGAATGTTTGTGGTCCGCTCGTATACTTGATACAGTGATTAGAAAGTTCACGTTATGTTCACAAATGATTTCTTTACTCTGATTGGCTTGTGTTTATTTAGTTTTAATTACCATAGTGGGACTGCGAAATTTGAAGATGATTATTAGTACGTCTTGAAGTCTGTCTTCGACAGCCTCACAGAATATAGTAATTTTTTGTGATTACATTTTAGGAATTAGTTCGTTTGGCTCGTATACCTGCCAACCAAGTCTTTGTGTTGCTCATGTATGACTTGGAATGATAAATGCAGGGTTTCAGATTAAACCATTGTACCTCAGTTAAACCCTTTTTTATTTTATTCACCTTTTAATCCCCTGTATTTAATCCCCTGTCTTATGGTACAATTATACCCTAATTTATACCGTCTCGTTCCCGTTATGTAAACCTGTGACCATGAGATTGATCGATCCTCTTCACAGTCGGCGAAGTTGTTGCGATAAATGTATATGAATTTTTTTTAGATGAATGTATATGAAAAAAAATTGTCTTTTGTTGAAAAAAGTGACGTCTATTATCGGAAATGTATCATTTAAATGAACCGCGCATTTGTTGCACATTACCATCTGTTAACTGCGTCGGTTGTGTCTGTAGAGGTGGCCAGGGTAAATGTCACTCACGTGCTCGTGTTGGATTATCTACGAGGAAATTACTTCTCGTGCGTTTTATTACTCGTTTATTTAACTATTCGCGGGATTTTCGATAGTGGTGGCTAGAATTACTGGAATGTATTGAAAAGAAGGCTGTCAGTGTTTTTGACCGTTCTAATCTTCCAATAAAATACTTATTAAAACTTTACCACTCGATGAATGTTATCAAAATGTTACGCCGCATTATTCGATGGAGCGCCGCTGTTGAAAATTCCTGGCATTAATGTGAAGAAAAACGGCGTCGCTGTGGACGACGGTCTCCATGTCGCCTGGAAGTGAGTCTTGCATCCGTTTCTTGTTGGGGATCTGGTGGCCTTTCCATAGCCTGGCCTCTTTCTTATGGTATCTGGTGGCCTCTCCATAGCCTAGCCTCTTTCTTATGGTATCTGGTGGCCTCTTTATAGCCTGGGCTCTTTCTTATGGGATCTGATGGCCTCTTCATAGCCTGGCCTCTTTCTTATTTGCCTTATTTTTGGGAAGTTTCCTGTATTCGGTTAGCAGCCAACTGTGATATAGGCCATTTTGGTGATTTTCTTTTAATAATGCTATGTGTTTTCGGGTATACACGAGTTTCTATAATTTTCTATGTACTAATTTGGGATTTACTGGTGATTCTTTTTAACCATTTTTATTTTTGAATTATCTTGCGTGTCATGTGACCTGGGATTGTATGAGGGCTTTGGCCTTTCTTCAGGCATCGAAGTATAATTTTCCCCCTATTGTCAGGACATTTGTCTCCTGAGGGTGGACTAAAGCAACCGGGCTAGACATTGTTTCATTCTTGTATACTGATTTACCCTCAGAGGAGACTTCTGACTGGTGTCTATGCTCGTCAGAAGTCCTATGGGATTTTGCGCTCCTAGGAGGGATTGTTCCTGAGCGCCCCACCGCTGAGCTCGCGGTGTCTGACTGCAGATCTCAGTTGTGGGGTTAAGTTATTATGTAGGTAGGGTTCCTTATATTTCCCTTCTCTGTCTCTCTCGTGCGGGCGGCCGACGTCCCGTGTAAGCGACCTCTTGTTCGAGTGTCTTCGTTTCTGTTGCTTTCCACCTGTCCCTCCTTGTCACTTCGTCGCTGTGAGATGCTAACGTTGCTTCTTTCGAGCCAGCTTCAGCGGGCTGGACAATTGAGACCTTCCACCCCTTGTGGGTGATGATTAATGCGACATTTTGAATAATTGAGACCTTCCTTCTCGCTAGCGATGTTGTCTTTTGATTTTCGGTTCGAAATAGCTTGATAGCTGAAGCGCCAGGAAACCGTTATATATACTGATTTGATTTGGGCACATTAGGTTTTCTTCACTCATTAGGTGAATGTTCATAGCTTAGTTTCATTCTCTTCAGTCTGTCCGACGCTGCGTTGAAGGTCCCCAATATGAGATCTTAACGCTACTCCCGTCTACCCTGTACTTGCTTCTTTCACTAAACACTAACCGTGTTATTTATCCCACTATTATTATCTTTCAGACTTGGAGAAAATGAAAAATTTCAATCAAAGAACGTTGAAAAAAAAAAATCCTCAAAAAATTATTTCAGAAATTATCTGTAGCTTTCACATTAGTACTGAAAAGTTATTAAAAATTTGTGCTACACTCTTAAGGCTTATTTTACACGAGTTTCATCTTCGTTCCAATAGACGCTCAATACTCCATGTTCATTCGTGGAAAAAGCTCTGAAGTGAATATAACGTCCGACTTATTATTTTTGATTGGATCATACCTTGCAAAAACACGAACAAGCGTTGTTGTTAGAATTATTTGGTTCTTTTGCGTTGATGCTTGAGTTTGCATAGCTTGTTTTGATGCTTTGCTTTTAATTTTGAGAATGATTAATTGCACTATTTTTCTTCATAATCTGAGCTTGCTTCGATATGAATATTTCTCACATGCTCGACGATATTGTGATCTTATTCGTGCTCTAGTAATTTTAATAACTTTTTCTTGCTTTAAATTAAATTTCTTTTTCTCTTATGCGTAAGAACTGATACCTGTACGATATATATACTCATGTACTGCATTTGTTTATCACTGCTACTTTACTGTATAATTACCGTGCATGACTTCTTCTCTGACATGTCACTTTGCAGATGACGGTGCTAGAGCACCCAGAAGGGGATGGTATTGAGTCTGGTTCAGAGTTATCACAATGTCCACGATCTCCTTCCTCAATTAACGATTACGTTTCGTGTTTTGAGTTCGACCAAACGTCCGGTGCAACTGCTTCGAATATTAACAACAGTGACACTGGGTTCCGTGCTTCTTCCACTTGCAACGTTCCGTCGAGAGAATTTTCCAGTAACAATTACGGTGTTCTGGGTGATGGGATATCAACCGAAGATGGGAGATCGGAACACAGTAATGACGAATCCACAAATGAAACCAGCAGTCGTTTTGAAAAAATCTGCTCTATGCTAACTCGGACTTCGGTCTTTAGCAAAAGGACTACAGATGCGGCAAAAAATGCCAACTCAAATATTCCTAAGTTAAATTCTGCTTCGTCCGAGAATCCCTCAAGTGAGCTGCCTCCTCCAATCCCACCAAGAAACTCTACGCCAACCCCTCCTGCCACTTCATTTCGTGGCGATCATTCGGCTATCAATAAAGTACGGGATGGCCATAATTGCAGAAGTTCAAGTTTGAAGGAGTCTGCCGTAAGAAGAAACCACCTTAGAAGCAGTAGTTTTGACGGCTTCAGTCCTTCAAGTCCAGCGTATCAAAAACCTTCGCTGTCCGGTTCTGGTCGAATCGCTGACAATGCATCTCCAAGTCCACAGTTCTCTTCAACCGACAAGTTGCGCGTCCATTCATCAGTGAAACAATCATCTGGGTCGCCAGTAGACCCTGACAAAGGCGTTGATGGTTCATTTGATGAAGAACATAAAAAGAATTTAAGTCGTAAAGAAATTAACCTGGATCCTGCGGTAGACCCTGGCAGGCCGTTCCTCCTGTTTGAGAGCACAGCAGAAAATTCTGCGATTACTCACAAAACATCCAATTTACGCGAGTTGCAACATCTCCAGCCAAGTTCATTTACTCATTGGGATCAAAATTTGGTGGAAGATTCGGAATATTTGGAACCTCCGCAAGTGCCCGACAGGACAGACAGCCTTCATCGCGCCCCCGAAATTCCGATGCTTCCGAATGTCGAGGATCGCTACGATCATGTTCAACTTTCGTTGCCAGAATCAATTTCTGCGACCATCAAGTTCAGTTCCAAGGAATTTTCTGTCGATGCCAATGTAAACGCGCCCGCCATCCCAGTAAAACCTAAACTAGTGTACTCCCCTTCCGTCCCGCTCGCTACACTTTCGACTTCCGCGTTCAGTAATGATGGAGTTTCAGCTTCAACTGATGTAACACGACCGCAGTCACCTCAGCCCAAACCTCGCAACGTTTTCATGAAATCTCCATCAGCAACCCAGGTTGGTCATATGGATTGTTAGGTCTCGACTCGTACAATACTCTGGGACTATAAATTTTAAAATTGAATTCGCCCCTGAATTTCTAAACGTCAGCTTGAAATTCAATACGAAATTCCGTTCCCATCGTTTCTGGGAAAAGCCTAACGTTGCGTCCCTTAGATCTTTTGGGATTTCTCTTTCAACGGTAAGGCGCTGTTAGTTAGTCACCGACAACAATTAAAGTTCCGTCACTTTAACTGTCAGAAGATTGTTTTTTTTGAAGACACTTGGTTTACTCGCCTACTATGTGACTACGGGATTTTTCCTGACCCAGCTGAATGCCGACGATTAATGTAGAGTTTGACTGTGCATGATTCCTTTCTGTGTTCTCATCCTTGCTATGGTGAAGCAAGAGCAACTGCATGTTGTCAGAGGCTTGGAATGTAAATTATGAATATACTGCTTGGTAGAAATCGCACGTTTTAGGTAGTTGAGTTATTGCACGATTGTACTGCCGTTTCTGTAGCATTAATAAATTGTATCCTTACGTTAATAAATTGTTCGGGACATCTTTGGACAGCAAGATAGTTGAAATTTAACCAAACCTGCGAATTAATTTATATAATTAGCAAAAAAACCTTCAACAATGATTTGGCAATTCACTGAGGAATTTCGAAAACGGAAATTTATCATGAAATTCGATGTTACAATTATACGTACGCTGAGCTAATTAATTACGGAACTTTATACGTTTCCACGTGACAGAGATCTCGGAGTCCGCTGCTCTCCCCCGGGGCGTCCCCTCGGGTGGGGGGGCAGCGGGACGAGCTCACCTCCCCGCCCCCCGTGCCTCCTCGCAAGTCCTCCCCCATCCCCAGCCCTCCGTCTACCCCCGCGGTGCCTCACAGGTGCGTTGTGTGTGCACTAATATATACTTTAAATGTCGTGATGTTCGATGCCATGCACATCAATATACTGCTGGCAATTGATGATGTTCGCTGCCGTGCACATTAATATACTGCCGGCAATTGATGATGTTCGATGCCGTGCACATTAATATGCCAGTGAAATGTTGGGATGTTCAACGTCATCCACATCCATTTAGCGAAGGAGCATCAAGATGCTCTACTTCTAACACATCAATTTACTGGTTAAATGTGATATTTGACGTTAAGTACATCAACTTACCGGGTGAACTTTACGATGCGATGTTTTGTGCACATATTTTCCTTCTGAAATGTGATGATTCATGACAGACACATTTATGTGCTTGGAAAATGCCGCGGTGTTGAATGAACAGCCGTCAGTTTAGTAGAGCATTGTAATGTTTGATGTCATGCAATCAATTTACTGATAAAATGACGTGTTGTTGAATGCCACACATTAATTTACTGCTGGAATATACTGATCTTCAGTGCAATATACGAACATGAACTCGTGAAATTTCTTTCCAAAAAGTTATCAGCAGATTTCCTATCACTCAATCGTCCTACGAGTTCGTTGCCTCTTTGTACGTGACTATAATACTTGATTAATGTTACGGCCATTTGGGAGTTTATGTAAAAAAATCGTCTGTAATCGTCCTACCAACAGCAAAAATTACAAGCAACGTGATCGTGAAATGCACTGTTAAAACGGAGCCGCTAACAACAGATTTTATGATCAATTTCAAAGTACAAGTGCACCGTTTAAATAGAAGCCTATCAATAACAAAATTCACGCTCAAGTTATTTGTCAAGTGCAATTTTAAGACGTTAATTAACATGGGACGTCATTACACAGATACAGCACTGGTGGCAGTGGAGGTAGTGGTGGCAGCGGCTACAGTGGTGGCAGTGGAGGCAGTGTTTACAGTGGTGGCAGTGATGTCAGCATGGACTACGGAGAAAATAGTAGCAGTGTTTACAGTGGTGGCAGTGCTTACAGGTGAGCATGCTATGCACTGTAAACAACAGCAAACTGCGTCGCAATTTTTAAAAGCAGTTTATTCTTTCCCGTTATAACTGCATTATGCATGAACCGAAAGAGATAGATGGTTTATTCATTTTATTAAATGCAAATATAATTAAATTTGTAGACTAATTCTACTAACTTACTAACTCCAAGATTAGTAATTATATGAAGTAAAGTTATGATGTGGAAGAGGTGCAGAAGCTCTACCGGCTGGTGATGTTTTTTTGCTAAATTGTAACGTAGTATAGATTGTGTAGTGATAGCTGCTCCTTGTATTGCTGAATAGCGTCACTTGACACCTGTACAGCGGTCTGGCATCTGGCGCATCTGCACGAAGTCTGGCAGCTGCGTCTGCTGCAGCTGCGGTGCCGCCGCTGCTGCCAGACGTGAGGGCGTCGTCGCCTGTCACAGCTGCAGCAGCTGTCACTGCAGCTGTGCTCATGCTGGCAGGCAGCAGCCCTGTAGCTGCCAGCAGCGACAGCCCTGACGTCAACGACAGCGGAGGTAATAGCCGTTGAGTTCACATTTTTTTATAGCCTCGTATTGTTGAGAGATTTCGATTTAATTTACAGGCGTGCATATATAATGTCGTTTGGTGACTGTACCATTTTGAACATTTTTGGAATCAGTTAAGTCCGAATTGTTTTTATTTTCGTTGATTTTGCAGGTGAGCTCGAGCCTGGAGGTCGGAGGTCTCCATTCCGTCACCGCCCTCTCTCGGTCCCTCACGTCGTCCCGAGGACCTCCAAAATTAAGTCCTCAGGCTCCAACCCTTCTCTCTCCTCCTCTTGCTCCTCCACGCCCCCTCAGGCTCCGTCGCCGTCTCCTTCTCTTCTCCAATCTCTTCCTCCCTTCACACTGTCGACTCCTTCATCTCCATCGGCTCAGCTCATAACTTTGTCTCCTCCGCAGCCCTCAACCCAGTTTTGCCCGCGACTCACCCCAGGCCCCGTTCAATCATCGCTGGGATTCCTATCACCAAGTCCTGTTCCTCCCTCCCCGAATCCCTCGTGTTCCTCCACTCACTGCTCGAGTTCATCGCTGAGTAGCGGCTCAACCATCATCTTCAACCTCTCAAGAGCCGCGTCATCGAGCACACTCGGACAAAACAGCTCCACCACCATTACGTACACTACACTGTCGCCGGATGACGATAGCGACGACGATGCCGGCGACTCTGATCAGCCTGTTGCTGACCACGCTGCTTTGCCCGCTGAAGGTAGCGAGGAATCGCCTGCGTCGACGTCAGAACGGCAACAAGCTCGGGTCTGCAGTGCCACTTCCGTGGACCAGCAGCTGGAAGATATCAGACAAGAAAATCAGAGCCTTCTCGGCGCTGTCGCCACCCAGGATATGGAAGACGAAGATGATGTTGAATCTAATCACTACGAACGGCTGCAGGACGCTGGAGAGCCTCTGCCCACCCCGCTGAGAACAGGACCTGAGAGCCAAGAGCGTCCTTCTCGTCGGGACCCGCTCTGCCCGCCAGGCTTTGCGCCTCCAACGCCCAGACTTTCTCGCAACTCTTCGGAGGAGACAAAATCTGGGCTAACTTCATCTTTTGAAGCGAAGGCGGATCAAGCGTCGCTTGTGCATTCACACGATCCAGTCGAGGAGATGATTCAAGGACAAGTATCCTTGTTGATCCCTGTCCCAATCCATTCTGCTGCATCATCGACTCCAGGCAGTCCTTTGCCAGCGCGTCCGCCATCCCTGCAGCAGCGAAAACATTCCCACGAGCTCATGCCCTCCCAGCGTCTACATTCCCTCGAGCACATCCCTCAGCAGAGGAAATTCTCATTGGAGAATCCCCACGCTCAGCCCAGTGGATCTAAAGCAGGCTCTCTCGGCCAGCAGATGCCGTACCACAGATCAAGTGATGGGTCATCTGGAGGCCTCTTGGCCGCAGAACTCGAGCAGCGGCTACTGCAGCACCAGCAACTGCAGCGAGGGGACAGCACGTCGGTAAGATGGGACCAAGCTTCCTCACGGTCTGCGTCCTCCAGTACTGCCGGAATCGGTCAAGTGCCAAAATTATTGTTACCTCCAACTGTGCCTCCAACACTGACCATATCAACGTCGTCTCATTTGTTGTCACCCCGCAACCCTCCGTCCTTGCCTAACACTCCACCTACGCTGCTGCTGACACCTACCAGCAGGACGGAGCCTCAAACTTCTCCGCATCATTACTCACTGTCTCCACATCACCAAGCTCCCCTTCAGGCTGGAGGTGTGAAACCAAACCAAACTCGACCACGCACGATCACGACGAGTCTGCTCCCTCCCGCCCCTGCAACGACCTCGCCCTCCCCGTCATCTCCCTCGTCCATATCGTCGTGTTCGTCGTCGAGTAGCTCTGGCAGCCTCACTGTTCCAGGAGAAGTCAAACGGCGCTCCAGCCATGGTCTGGATCTGGCGGACATTAGTGAAGAGCCTCACTACGAGAACACAGTCTTTGTCCCAGGTGCGTCAACCCCTCCGTGATAGTATCTGTTGATGAATGTATACAATTGATTTCTGTTGTAACTTTTCACGTACTCGTCTTACCCTAGTTATCGAATTTGTTGATAATATTTACCTAACTGTTTTTTTTATGATTACGAATGTATTCATAAAAAGTTGATGAATAGGTCCGGTATTAGTGTCAAGTGATAATATCTGCGTGTGAGCAGGAAGCCGGAAGTTTTCTGGAGAGCTGGAGGTGCCTTCATTCCCCTCCTCCCCAGTGTCTCCAGGCCTTAGCGCCAGCCTCGCTCAGCCCACAGACAAATCGTGCGTGCAGCCTCCACCTCAATATATAATTTATACCTAATCGTTAGAATACTTCTTCTAGTTGACGCTGCAAAAGGCGTGTTATTAGACGGAAAATAATTCTCATTGATGTCGAGCGCGAGACTGCCTAGAAGTCGTATAATCGATTAACTTCGTATTGCTGCTTCAATTATTTGTCTCGGGACTAATGAGCAATCAACTGTATATTGAATAGTACTCTCTTTTTCAAAATTCCCATGTCCCACATGAAGATGCATCTATTTATAATGCCAATGCTAGCTCTAAAATTTACAGCGAATTTTTCAGGGCAGTAGTCCATTTATTTCCCTGACAATCTTGTTTTTTTTTTCCACTGACATGGTCGCTCATTTCGCTGACTTGTTGCCTCGTGTGCCTCCAGCCTGACCGTGCAGAGCGTCGTGCCCCTGACGTGCAGTGATGACGACCACGTGACGACGAAGGCGGCGTACGAGAACCTGCCCGTGGAGCAGATGGCGGTGCTCACGCACGAGGGCTTCCCTCAGGACGCCGTCATCAGAGCGCTCCTCATCACCCATAATAACGTCAATATGGCACGCAATATCCTCACAGAGTTCGCTTCCAAGAAATCTTAATGAAGCTTCAGCTCTATGCATGTCCTTTAACGTTGTTAGCATTAATCTCGACCAGATACAAGGGAACGGGAGGTGTTTGGCTTGACCTAGCTGGGATGCAGGTTAGTTGGCTGACGACAGTGGCATAAGTTATTCTGCCTTCATATACTAAAATGTTAGATTTTGAATTTCCTTATTGTACGAAAACAATTCCAATAAAAACAGCTTTAGTTTAGAATGATGAGTGTTACTGCCAGTACTTGAATTATTCATTACCAAATTTAGCTTCTACTTCAGCCCATGCAAGTTTATCAGTGGATGCTTGTTGCCCAATTCGTGTGATTTTCATGGTTTCGAAAATTTAGGGAAAAGTTAAACATGTGTTGCTAAACCTGAAAATTTTTAATGATTCGAAAAACGAACGCAATAAATTTTAGTTACTGGCTCACTTCCGATACACTAGAAAAGATTACCAATATTTCTACTTCGAAATTTAGGAAAAGCCTTGACATGTAACCACACTTGAATTTCATTCACGTTTCCCATCAGCACATTGTTACTGGTTTGGACAGAACATTTGTTCTCTAAAATGTAATAGCCGATTTATTCGGTTGCTTCACTTCGACTCCCGGCGTGATTTTGTTATGTACTCTGTATCTTTACCAGATTTGTTGATCAAAAAGTTGAACATTTTTCAATGCATTTTGTTTCTTTTGTATAGCGTTGTAATCGCTTGTTTAGTCTTATTTTTAACAAAGCCTGTACAGAATAATTGTATAAATTTGAGACATTTTTTACTTAATATTTGTATAACAAGCGTTGATTCTGGTTTGTTCTTGTTGACAGATACGTTTAGGCTTTGCTTAAGATTTCGTCATTGCACTTTGTTTCGAAATATAAATAAATAGTATTGGAATCCGAAAAAAAAAATCCTAAACGAGAGTCGATAAAAGCTTAGATTTTAGAAATTTTCTTATGCGGTAGTAACAAAAGTGCATTGCATTTGTTGAATACGCGTGTAAACAGAGCCAGAATTTCTTTGGGACCTGAAGCACAGCGCTGGCTCCGCCATTACCGGGACAATTCTGAGTACATTCAATGGTATTGTTGGCATAAACAATTCTCTGATTGAAGAAGACATCAATCAGAAGAAAAAATTCTCATTGAAGACATTTCAATCAGAAGACAACAATTCTCTGATTGAAGACATTTTGGATGACATTCTGTGGATTTCTAGTCTGCCGAGAGATGATAGTGAAGTGACGATAGCTCGCACGTAAGACTAGTTGCCAAACAATTGCGTGGTGGATCGCAATGATCTGTAGTTTGTTAGTCGGGGAGTCGTTGAGAATAATAATTCTCTAAATAATCAGTCTCTATTTTGCTATGTGTCATAAATAACTCTTCTTGTTAAGCTTCATTGATGAAGCTGCTTATTGCATTTTTAAAGCATTACTAATAATATTGACAACGTCGTACCAAAACTAGACTGTTAAAAGCACGTTTAGTGCATCTTCGTTTTTGATAATGAAATAAAATAGTTGCTACGTCTGAAATGCTCCTGCCTGGACATACCGCAATTAATGTACTATTTTTCTAACGCTGCTTAAAACTTGCCATCTATTTCGCTGTGGCAGTCCTGTTCGGGTCATCGCCCTCGTTTGCCTGCACATTGAATATAATATTCGGAGATGGTGTACAGCTGTGAGCTTAGGATGTACTCGGATGCGTGGATGAAGTATTTTTTATTGTATTAGTTGATGTGAATGTTTAAACGAAGTTGAGTTTTCAATTATTCGGTCAACTTATCCTCTAATTCTGAATTTTATCCAAGTGATTGCTAACATGTTTTTTTGTACATTATTCATCAAACGTGACCTGGACGGTGGTATTATCATGTTTATGATCTATAAAATTTAAGCTTGTCTGTGAAATGAGTGATCATGTTTACAAGAACGAGTGTCAGGTTGGAAGTTCAAGAATTATTGGCAGTGCTGTGAATGAGAGAACAACAATGAACCAGAATGCAGTATGTTTTTTACGTACGTGTGCTCTACGTTGAACTTAGTCTTTAACTGTTGTTGTTGTTGTTGACGTCGTGGCTGTTCTTGTCGGGTTTTGTCTGGTTTACTATTTGGCAGCAACCACGCCGCTCTTTTTAAGCCTCCGCAAGCGACAGACAAGTGACCGAAACAAAATAAAAACGCTTCTTTCTGTAATTTGAGCCCTAATTTTGCTCATAATCTCCTTCGGAAGTTGTACTAAAGTCCAGCTTCCTTGTTGAGATGAAACAAATGGGTTCCTGGTGCGAAAATTTGTGTTTGAGGAATGTCACGGTGTCTGGCCATGAAAGACTCGTATGTTGGGGCTCTGAATATCGTCACATTTCTGCCTTTTGTACGCAAGCTTCGACATACTAGGAACGCTCGATAAAATAAACTGTACTGAACCTCTACTGTTCGACACACTCAAGTGACCGCCTCAACCGCTCCAGATGATTGATGCCCATACAGCTTTTGCGCGCTCTTTGCTTCCTATCTCGTGTTCCATTGCGAGGGATTTTGCTAGAATTTTCTTGTGCTTTTGGTCATCGACATTGGTCCCTTTGTTGGTGCATTTTTCTCATGCTCTTTTTCAAATATTTTTTTGTTCAATATGTTTTGATTTGTTGCTTACGTAAAATACTGGAGTAGGAAAAAGCTCAAGTGCCATAACTGAGAATTCCAATTCAACTGCAGGGTCGTCTTTGAGGAGCCCCGTTGTTTTGTATGTTGCAGAGGGTGGAATATGCAAGCAAACTTAAGCAACTGTCATTGTCTGTCCAAACTATTTCATTAGAGAATATTTATCGTATGTTGCAATTAAACGGATGATCAAATCACCTTACATGGTCGGTTTCATAATTGATATTTGAAAATTTTTATTCTGTTTCGGCGATATAGGTTTGACTATGTAAAATAGGCTTAATTTCTGCATCTTGCTACTCAGCATTCCATTGAAACTAGTGTGGTTAATGATGGTAATTTATCTCGTGAAGTTCTGTCGCTATTGGTTCATCGTATTAATAATTTACTGAATTATCCTATTAATGGTGTTGGTTTGAGGGCCTCGTGCTGCTCTGCTGTAGTGTCGGTGTGGTCTTCTCTGCCAGGATGAAGTGTTTACAAATACATGATATGATTTTTTTTCTCGTCAGTCATAAAGTATTAAGGTTTGCATTTTTTGCTCCGTATTCATGAAAGAGGAAATTCTTTCAGAAGTTGCAACGGTCAGCAATTGTTTTGTTACGCAAACGTTTCAGTAATGTGCACATTGTTAGAGGATCATTTTCTTCTGTCGCTATGAACTCTCAAATTTAATTGCCATCTGCTAATGATTTTCATTTTAATAAGTCATTTCAATAAGAGGATCAACTGTTTGCTTCATTCTTCTCCCAATTCTGGAGTCGCAAATAGCCGATTACAAACATCGTTTGTAATCGTTTCTTACGTTAAAGCTTCTGTGTCACCATGTCTGTTAGTGCATTTCCATTGCAATATTACAACTTAACAAGTATGGGAAACCCTCGTGTGTAAATTGTGCCAAATCAAGAATAAATTTTCTTATGCCAAATAAAACATTTGTTTCCTTGCTACATTGAGATGTATGTACAGAGTGCTACATTTTGAAACCATGAAATAGAATAAAATAAAAAATTTTAGAGCAGTATATAAATTTCACAAATTTAGGTTCTCTCAGCTTTACCATCAGAACATTGGTCCTTCAGTTTAACCCTCACAATACGTTCCGTGGACACGAGTACTATAACTATTTAATCAAATGTACGTTCAGTTTTGCCTCTACACGGACCCCTTTGTCCTTGTAGTCGAACACGAATTTTTCTTTGTTCAAGACCATCGTCTTTTTGGTGATTAGTTTGACGGCCACAAGAAGCCTTCTGCGCAACTCAAGTATTTTTCTCGTGGCTACATACCTTCGTCAACCTGCAGTTCCTCAAAATTTAGTTATCCGGATGTATTAAATACTAATTTATTATTTATTGAAATTAAATATCGATTACAGAATAATTGAGTTGAGGCAACATAAATTGAGTTGAGGCAACACCTTTATTCTAATTTGAGGTCAGAGGGCAGATATTAGCTATGTCAGTCTCATAAACTGTCTGGCACACACCCGTACGACTCAGCGGCACCGAGGACTTACGTTTCATGAAAGGCTGAAGCTGGTGCAATCGGCTGAAGCAGATGAGTGGCCCAACAGGGGCTGAGATCATGAGGAGGTGTAGAAATTAGCACCTCATGACTCTCATCCACATGCGACGATGTCATAGTGTCTTGGGGTAAATTGATAACAATCGACAGCCGCACAGGAGTTTATCACAGGGTGAGGTGCTGGAGAATACTGAAGCTTGATAATTTGTTAGCCGAGTGACTTGAAGTTCGGATCCTTTTGAAGGGAATCCCGAAACCGCAAGCCCTCAATCTTACAAAATCACCAGATTGGTGCCAGGCAATTTATGTAGTTAATATGTAAAGGAGTACTGAAATTTAGGGGGGCACGAATATTATAGTTTTAAGGCTAGTTTTAGTTCAGACTATTAAAACATTTAAACTATACTATTTTCGACAGAGTAGAAAAAGAAATGAATTTTTAGCTATCAAATTATTCGTTGAAATTAATAAAACAATTTTATTCATATTTTTTCTTTCTAATTCGAACAGACTAATCATTATCTGGATTGAACCGAAATAGTGAATTGAAATTAATAATGAACTATACATAGAATGTTAGACCCAAAAAATGGATGTATTGAAACTGAAGCTGAAAATACTTTTTGAAATAACTTCATAAACCTCCATACGATGTAAGGACGTTGCGCATTCTCAGCCTCTCAACTGGGATTTCACTTTTCTGTCGAAAGGCCTAAGGAGTTCCACGCTGCCTTGGGGGCGTTCTTCCTGAGCCACACAACTCAGAGATCCTGATGTATCAAAGTGCGCCTCGTCTGTGCACCTAGTTTGCCACGTAAGCATAATTTCCCCAATATAATTATTAAATGTGGATTCATTAATTGCGGACGAAGGACAGTGCGTGCGACCACTCTCTCGAACGAGTGGCATCGTTTCTGTTGCTGTCTAACCTGTTCAGCTTTGTCATCAGAAATGTTAAGACGACTTCTTTTTCGACAGCTTCAGTTCAATGGTCATTTGAGACTTTCCTCCATTCACTGGAGTAAAGTTTTTAATTGGAAAAAATTGCGATGACTATCAACAATATTAGTGACGATTACTGTGTGATATTGTGATCTCGAGTATTTCATGGATGACGCGTCAGCTATACCTTTATTAGAACCAGGCGGCCAGTGTCTCAGAGTCTTATGCTGACAGCCGCATCAAATCACAGGAACGGTTTTCGAGTTCTTTTACTTTCCTCGTTCTGGTGCATACCTGAAGATGTTACTTTGCAAACTACTGCTCATAATTGAAGGTCTTGAAGTTCGCTCATTAGTTTTGAAGGAAACTGACTTAGGAAACAATACGAATATTTCGCTGCACTATCCTGGTCATAAATCAGTTCACACTGTGGTTCCTTCATAGAAGGATTGAGTCGTGGTTCCCATGACTTGAGAAACTTCATGATTCATGACAAGCAAAGAAAACTTATTTCTTATCTAGCATTTTAAGAGAAACTTGTTTGGAATCTTACTAATAGTCTCAACAGCTGGTTTTTCTTCATAAATAGCTTTCACTTTACGTAATTTCACGTAATGAAATCTGTAGGAAAATTTCATCTGACAAATATTCCTTTAAGCTCGCTAGCGAATAAAATACCCCGAATATATAATTTTTTCAAGTTTCCAATTTATGTAGGTAGAATTTGAGTGAGAACTGGTGAGATTCAGGGTAGAAATAATGGAAGATACTTGACATGTTTCTAAGAATGTATAACAGAGGAAGGCTCAAACTGCGATTAAAAAATCCCTATCAATGTCGTTATCGAAAGAAAAGTTTGAACAGAGTTGACCCCCTCAAGAACCTTAGTTTAAAATGACTCTCATCATGCCAAGGTAAGTGAGGCAGGTATGAAATGATTCATGTTCACTAGACCTCAGAATTAAATAAGCGCTCCAAAATGAGCTTTAATTTAAAGAGTTAATGTAATGAGCTATGGCAACAGATATAATATTATGCATCGCGATTGGCATTTCGAAGAAATTTAATTTATGGATTTTGATTCATTAGTGTAGAAACCTGAAAAAATTCCACGACAATGTGTCATATTTTTCATATTCACATTTTAGTTAACAAATGGGTCAGGATGACCCGACTTCACTTCTCAAGCGCACCTGAAGGCACTATGTAATTATTTAAAGATTTTGTCAAAAAATCACTCGACTCACCAAATTTTCTGTTCTTGATTTTCCCGTTGCTTCGAATAGCAATCAGTATTATACGTAATACGCAGAAAAGTGTGGCTCGCAATCATTTATTGTAAGAGGATTTTTGAATAATGAATGCTATTAAATAAACATAACGTCCATTGTACAACGGAATTCGAAATTCATAAATATTTTTAATAAAAGTCTTAATTATTTGAACTATCCACAATTCTCTCTCCCAATTCAGGGATGCTGTCGCTAGAGTAATGGTCGCCTTCCTCATCAGTGGGTGTGCCCTTCTGGTCATCACAGGAAATCGTACACGACCTGACAAATCGAAAAGTTTGCTGAGCCGCAGTTTGACCGATGATAGCTTGCATGAAAGAAACACAAAACGTCTATGGCAACTCAGAGATGCTGCTTCTTCGTGTCAATGCCGGTCTCTCTTCACCATTGGAGCCTGCGGTCTTGAAGAAGTTGAAATGATGAAGCCGAAAGATCACATATGGCGATCAGCTCTGCGTTCGATGGCAGGCATAAGAAAAAACCCTAAAGGCGAAAGTTACGTGGATGCCCTGAAAACTCTCAGTCGATACCGGCCGCAAAATTTCAGGGTAGAGATGGGCACCAATAAAACGTCACGTACGGCAGAAATCACACACCCTGATGCTCAGTTACCATTCACTCGGTGCTCAGAGCACAAATATTCTCCCAGTGATATCAGAAGCTGTCTGGAAAATATAAAAAACAAGACTGGTGAATCATTAAAAATTGTGTTCATGGGTGACTCGCGAGCACGCTATTTAATGAAGTATTTTTTCAAATCGATCGAGCTATCAATTGATAAGGATTTCATCAACGGGAAAAAATTGAGGGAACTTTACTCGATTAGAATTAGGAATGACTGGAACATATCATTTGCTACCGTCCAATCGTCCCTTGTTTGGGCTCCATATTTGGACGAGTTCCAGCTGGCCTCAGAGACTCTGAGGTCCTGGTGCTCCGATTCTGCAATGTTAAAAGATCTTCCAGACATCTTGCTGGTCAGTTACGGAACCTGGCCTGCAAATTTTAAGGGCAATCTATTGGCATTCGCAGATTCGTTTCACGCTGTCCAGTTATTTAAAGATTGTTTCACTAAAATTTCAGAGAAGTCCATAGTGCTGTGGCTGATGCCCGAGCCTGTGAAAACCAAACATTCAGTAATTGGAGGAACAAAGAATGCCCAACTAGACTTTATGCACGATATTGTATGGTATTTTTTTCGTAATTCCAATGTGATAATATGGGACACCAGAGAAGTTTTGGCCATCATGGAGATCATAGAATGCTCTGAACTTGGTAGTGCTGGTTATAGGTTCAATTCTCCAGAAGACTGGAACTGCTGGGACGAGCACCATATGGGATCTTGGGCCAACTTGAGATCTGCCAAAATGATTCTTAATTTTATTTGTGGTAACGTCAGAGGCAAGAATGACGACCAATATTGTTGTAATTAATTTGAGGAATTTTCCGCTTTCTCGAAGGGGTCGCCAGCTTCCACCAGTCACAATGTAAGGGATAGAAACCGTTGTTATTTACTAAAGGAATATTAATTGTACAAGTTATTTAGAGTCCGGAATTTTGAATTGTCACTTTAGTTTAGAGTTTGCTGAAACCTAAGTGCGGAAAGATGAGGTGATAGGATTATTGTGCCGCGGAAATCCGGAGCTGAGGTATGTGCTGCGTGAGGATGGCAATATGTAAATATATATGTGAATGGATTTGATGCGGAGTAGATTTGTGAATATTTAGGGTTTGAATGTAAATGTTTGTTTACTATCAGTTATTTATCTACTTCTATTTGGTACTTTTAGGAAAGCCTCAAATGTCGAAACTGAATCTCAAATGTCAAGATTCAAAGCTTGAATCCGAGAAGCAACTTCAGAGTAAAGCATGCCATGAAGCATGCTTTATTTATGTATGAAGCATGCGATTATCATTGTTATAATGTTACAACACGTTGATTATTTGTTTGTTTGAAAGTGTGGTGCAATAAAGTGTTTTAAGGATCGTGCATTAGTGAATAAACCTATACGATCATGAAGGCTAGTTGGTGGTTCACAGAGCCCCACCAACAATAAATTTATTAGTTGAAGATTACGCATACGACTCAAGTTTTTACGGTTACAAAGGATTGTTGGGGAAACACTTTCGCAATCGGTATTCTTGTCAATTGATAAAAGTGCTCTGAAACATAATAAATTTATTATAGTTCAGGTCATTAGGTCAAAATCAGTCAATACTTTTACGTGTTATTGTAATGCTCCGACAGTTGAATCTTGAACCCTCCACACGCACGTGACGAAGGAACGACTAGCTTGTTTTCCGGCCAGCTGGCAATCCGAGTCTGCTCCCATGGGATGGCAATCAATGAAGTCATCAGAACTTAACGCATACAGAACTAGAACAACTCTTATGCCGGGAAATTGATTTATGCTCTTCTTCTTTTCAGGTTTCCACGTTGGGTGGACTGAAAGCCACAGGACAACCACAAGGATGACCGTTGGGCCTGAGAGCTTATGTTAGATTTATGGCGATAGGCTACTCGGAAATCTATTAATTGTTGCACGCTTCCTCCCAACAACAAGCTGAGGCGAAAACTGCTAAAAAATTACAAATAAAATTTAATGGCACTTGTTCAATAAAAACTGTCTTTATATTTTTTCAAATTGATTACGAAATTCATCAACATGAATTTCATCTTGCACATAAATGTAATTAACAATCTTCGACTGAAAAATTTCAGCACTTGGCCATTTGATTTTCTGTTAGACATTCGCCGCTTCTTTAAGCTTCATACTTGAATGAGAAAGCGTACCCTCTCGGTTCCGATACCTCTGCGGTCGTCCTTTAATTCGTTCATTGGAGCCGACACTTGGCTGGCAGATATTAAGAGCAATGTAATGTAATGGGATTTACTGAAACTTTCCATGCCGTCAAGTTCTCAATCTTTTTGGAGCAGAAATAGACGTAAAGATTTTCGTGCTGTGAATGCTATCGGAACCAATAAATAACTACTGATTGCAATAATTGATGTGGACCAGAACTCCCAAATTGCACGAAATAACATTCCTGGGATTCAGATATGGTCATTCTGTAAACATGTGAAGTTTGATCGATTAAGGAAATCGTGGGATGCTTGAAGATGCAAAATGCTGTTTCTGACTCAAGAAGAATGGAACTAATAGTACCTAGATACGAGCATGTATATCTTTTTAATATAATGTTTGGGAACGTTAGTGTCAAGAATGATGTTTAATATTGTTCAGGGAAGTCTGGAAAAAAGCTGACTGCCATCAAGGTCTGCCATCTTCTAGCATGAAGATAAATTTCGGATTAAATAAATAATTTACCTTAAATGCCTACAACATAGGTTGTGATTCAATTTCCTACGAGCTCTTGGGGAGCAGTTTGGAGATTTCCTGTTGCTTGTTGATTTACTGTTAATTCGGGACTTCTATTGTTTCATATTTTCACCACTTTGACTACAGCTACGAAAAAAAGTATTTTCAAAGTAACAGTAATAAAAATAAATTTAATTGTCAGAAACGCAATACTTGTCTTGCTCTGGAAACATCTTTTTTCTAACGAAGTAGATTGTCTATTTCATAATTAGAAAGTTATTTATTTTATGAACTCCATCCAAAGTTGTGAAGGGCAAATTGTAACTAACTTAATAGCTGTCATAATTATTCATTCTTCTAGGGTTATTTGCGTCCAGCTTCTGCCAAATACGTGAAAGTATTAGAAGTATTTGTTGTTTGGCTCTTCCGAAAAGAGTTATTTCAAATCTCAGCCGCTCAATATATGCCCTTCCCTTCAGCCTCATCGATGCACCATCAATAGTACGTCATAATCATCGATGCACCATCAATAGTACGTCATAATCATCGATGCACCGTCAAGAGTACGTCATAATCATCGATGCACCATCAATAGTACGTCATAATCATAATCATCGACGCACCGTCATGAGTACGTCATAATCATCGATGCACCGTCAAGAGTACGTCATAATTATCGGTGCACCATCAAGAGTACGTCATAATCATCGATGCACCGTCAAGAGTACGTCATAATTATCGGTGCACCATCAAGAGTACGTCATAATCATCGATGCACCGTCAAGAGTACGTCATAATTATCGGTGCACCATCAAGAGTACGTCATAATCATCGATGCACCGTCAAGAGTCTGTCTCTTATACACATCTAGATGTGTATAAGAGACAGGTCAAGAGTACGTCATAATCACCGATGCACAGTCAAGAGTACGTCATAATCACCGATGCACAGTCAAGAGTATGTCATAGTCATGATGCGTCGTTCAGAGTAAGTCAAATCTTCGATGCACCGTTAACGGTATATCATAATAATCGATACACAGTCAAGAGTACGGCATAATAATTGAAATATAGTCATAGGGACGTCATAATCATTGATTTTTGGCAATGAGTGCTTCATAATCATCGATGTATAGTCAACTGTGCGTCATAATCATCCATGCAAATACGTCATCAGCGTTGCATCGTCGAGAGTACTTCACAATCATCGATGCATTATCAATAGTCCGCCATTGTTTTCTTTTGTAATTCAGGGTGCCAAGCGAGAATAAGGATTGTGTGAGGCACACACTGCCCTCAAAATGCATATCCAGCGAGGGTTGACTGATGATAAAGTTGAATTATTCTCAGACCAGCAATTGGTGTTGTTGGCGTTATAATACTTTCACGTATATATAGACGTTTTTGCTTATTTTTGCCCCAGGTGTGTAATAAAATACTATTTTTGAAATGAATATGCGTATATGATGAGGAAAAATTTTATTTTATACTTTTTTAAAAATGTTACGCATTATGAACTCAAAATCACTTTTAGTTAAGGAAACCTATCGTGTATTACACCAGAATCTTTACGAATCACCGGGATCCTTGGTCGCTTTAAGCATGTGGTGTTGCGAGTTGATCTGATAGATGCATGTTCATTATACTATTTCTGGTAGAGTCTCGTACACACGGTAGATCTCCGAATTTCAGCACAGGATATAGGGTACAAAATGTTCAAATTAGTTGTTAATTACCTGCCTCAGTAACAGCTATTGCTTTAAATGTCGTTCTTAATTTATTATTTTTATTGTTTGACAGCATAAAAGCCCGATTTATCAACACCTGCTTTGTTGTGCAGCTCAGCAATGCAGCATGAGAACAAGAGTTACCTAACGGGCCGTCGTCGTCAGGACGGCTGCTGCAGGTCGTAGCCACCACCTCCCGGCGGCAGCGGTGGCCGCGCTCTGGGTTTTCCCGCGCGTGCAGGCGGCGCGGCAGCGAGAGTCACGCACGCCGGCGCAGCCACCGTGGCCTCGGGGGCGGGGGACGACCTGTCGCGGGGGCCGGACGGCACGGCGCGTCCCATCTGCGAGGGTTGGGGAGTTATATGGCGTGGGACCGGGAGGTATATGAGGAGTTATGACTCATGGAACCGGGAGTTATATGAGTAGTTATATCTCGGACGACCAGGAGTTACAGTGGGGGTAAATAAATATTCGTACACTTGAAAAATCGTATTTTAATGTATGTAAGTACACAAACTTAACAGGAAAAGTGATTTAAATTATGTATAGAGACGCATAGTATTCAAAAATACTATCATCGTGGACATCGGTGTGGATAAGGATGAGGCGGAGTCAAAAGAGAACTATAAAGATTTGTTATCTGCACGCATATGACTTTGATAAATAATAATCGATGTGGACTCGGTGACGTTTCCTTAAAAGTTTTCAGGTTTGTTTGCGATGAATGAACATTTTTAATGCGTTATGTCATTGCAATTTATTTACTTATATGTTATTAAAAGCTTGAGGTGTGTTCACGTCAATCACGATCAATATGTTAAGCTGTTCCACTGCTCTGGCCAGCAATAAATTGTCAAGTTAAATTTTGAACGAAAGTTTTCTTGGGAAATATTCAATGAATGTATTAAACTTATAGGAGTTACAGACAATTACATTTAAATAGACGAATGTCGCTGCTGTAGAAATATGATTAAATTCTAAAGCAGAAAAATTTCTCTCGAAATATGAAGAAAATTTTTTGTAGTTATTTGTACCATATATAAGTATTTGAATGTAATCTGTCGTTGGTTTGTGAATAGCACCGCGTATTTGATGAAGAAAACTTCAAATTGCAAACGAAAGCTACACTTCTTACTGAATTTTTTGCTAGTTGGTGTACTGGTTCAGAGCGAAGAAAAACTACGAATAAAAACCTTCGCGAAGCATGCCACTGGTCGTCTTCGCTGACGCCTCAAGCCGCTTTACCGAAGGCTTTCGAGGCTTCTTGGTGAAAAATTTCTTCTCTATATATGAAATTCAGAGGCGTTTATATCTAGTAGTCTAAAATTTGTCGATGAAGCAAATGCCTCAATCATTTAGTAATATGGCGGTACGAGAATTAAAAGTGTATCCATAGGTATAAGTATTTGCATTTTAATAATAATAATAATAATAGTAATTGGTATTGCACAATTTGCATTACTATTTAACTAAAAGTCCTATCAACAGCAAGTAAAAATTAAAACATATAAATGCGAATAGAGTCTAAGTTTTCTACGAGGGTATAATAGAATTCTATATGGCCTAATAAATTTTCATGCTCGAATTTCATGTACTTCATAATTTAATAAAAAAGGCATACCTCTGAATGGCGAAACAAAGATAGTCACTCAACTTGAATCTACCACAAAATATTTAATATGGATTAACTTCAACATTAGTTACGTGTGTTCTCTGAACAATGGACTTACTCGTATTTACAATTTTAATGCATAAATCTTTCATTTGTTGATAAAGGGCAACCATAGATTTCGCACGTGGTTAACTTAATCAATAACCTGACTGTTTGA